AGCCTTCCCATTATCCACACAGAGAACTATGCTTAACCAATCAGTGGACGAATTTAGTAATCATGCACCCTTAGTCTCAGCATCACACAGTTTAATTCCAGCATTATGCACTTTAATCTCAACATCACACACCCTAGAATCAGCCACCTCTGAAAAGCCCCACCTATGAGGGCATGAGGCTTTGGAGGGACATCTTGATACAAGCCATAACAGGTCTCCACTGCACCTTTGGCTTCACTCTCAGAACTGCACACATTGTTGTCTCAGGAGCACAATGCCTGGCCTCCCAGGCCATCTTATGAAATCTGGGTGAAAGCCTCCATGACCCCATAACTCTTACAGTCTGCATGCCTGTAAAACCAGCACCATGTAAATGATGCCAAGGTCTAATGCCAGCTTAAGTAGTAGCCAGTTCCCCTGGGATGTCAGTATAGCAGCCTCTGAATGGATGGCTGAACTTGGGTAGACATTTTCCTAAACAGCCCTGAATGAGCAGATATGCCAGGGACTCTTCTCAAATGAAAGATTAGTTTTGCACCCTTAAACCTGCAATGGGTGGGGTCTTGCTGGTTTCTGAGGTGCTCTCAAGCTATTTTCTTGTCCCTGTACAAAGAACTTGGCTTCTTTTTTAATGCTAGCTTTTTCAGCAACCATGCTCTCCTTTGCCCCAACTTTTCAGGTGCTTTGTTTGGCAAAACTCCAAACTTCAAATCATTCAGCTCTGCTTTTTGCTCTTGATTCTCACTGTAGATCTGGCCAATAGCCAGAAGTACCCTGTGCCACAGCCTGAACACCGGGCTACCTTGACATTTCCTCTGCTGGATTAATTACCATCCTTAATTTCAGTCTCCCCCAAAGTCTCAGGATGTGGGCAAAATGTAGACAGATTTTCTACTAGAGCATAACATACATGGTATCTGGTCCAATTGCCGATGGAATCCTTGCTCCCAACTGAAACTTCCTGAGCCTAACCTTTACTGTCCACATTCCTAACAGTGTTTGGTCTTTTGAGCCCTGACTAGTATTGCACATCAAGCACTGCTCACAACATTCTGGAGCTTCTCTATCCCCGACTTCCAAACCTTTGCAAACACCTTCTACAAAGCAGTTCTAAAGGCTTCTGAAACACATTGTCAGGTATAGTCACAGCAATGTCCATTCTCAGTACCAATATTCTGTATTAGTCATTTTCCTGCGACTGGGGCAAAATACCTTACACCTGCAACTTAAAGGAGGAGAGGTTTGTATTGGCTCACTGTTTGTTTGAGACAAGGTCTCACTATGCAGTTCAGGCTAGCCTTGAACTCACTATGCAGCACAGGCTAGCCTCAATCTTGTGGCACTCCTCCTGCCCCAGCCTCCTGAGTGTTGAGATTATAGGCAAGTGTCACTACGCCTGGCCTAGCTCAGAGTTTCAGTGGATTCAGCCTATGGTTGGGCTGGCTCCAAGGCAAAAATGGGATGGCAGAGGAAAACTGTTCTCTTCATTTTGGCAAGGAAGCAGAAAGGATGAGAATACAGCTTTCCAAATCATGCACTCAGTGACCTGCCCCTTCTGACCAGGGCCCATCTCCAAATTTGAAATTTTGGGGGAATATTTTAGATCTAAACCATAACATAAGGCCTGATGTGGTGGTGCACACCTGTAATCCCAGCACTTAGGAGGCTGAGGCAGGAGGATTGCTAGGAGGTCGAAGCCAGCCTGAGCTACACAGTAAGCTCAAGGCCAGCCTGAACTGCATAGCGAGGCCCTGTCAAAAAACAAACAAACATAGTCCTTGTTTTGTTCCTATCCAGTCTGTGACTAAGCATTTCACTTGAACCTCTCTAAACTTCTTCATCATAAGAAAAATATGTTCGACTAAATCACCAGTGTTGTTTCTTGCTCTGTTCTATTATGCAAACTATTAATATAGATGTATTTAAATTTTGAATAGATATAATTTGTGATACCCAGGTTTGGTGGTTAAATCAATTAATTAAATTAAAGATAGGATGTTCAGTAATCAGATTTCTGAAGAAGCTGTGAAATGTTGATGGAAGCCATTATAACCACAAATCATTTAGTAACATGCACTGAAATATTTTTTTGAGAGCCAAGTGTGGTGGTATACACATTCCCAGCACTCCAGGAGATTAAGGCAGAGAGATTGCAAATTCAAGCCCAGGCTGTGCAATTTAACAAAATTCTGTCTCACAATGAAAAACTTTCTAAAAGGGTTGGGGATGTAGCTCAATGCCAAGGCCCTAGGTTCAATTCCCAATAGGGCAAAAAAAAATTATTTTTAGAGAGGATGTACTTAGGACCAATATATTATCAAATTTTGATTTAAATAGGTTCTGCCCAGTTCTGAGAAGAATGAGGTCAGCACTGAAATAGTATGTTGATACTATTGAAAGTCAAGCCAAAACGACCTTAGAAACTGTTGAAGTTAATCCCTTCATTTTAACTACTGAAGAAAACCTGCCCTATAAAAGTGAAGCAAGTTACTCAGGTTATACCAAGGAAAAATCCATATATTTCCCATTTTGCTGCAAATTCCCCATGGATGACATTTCACTTGTAGATGCAAATAACTCCCTGGAGACTTGGAAACTGTAAGTAGTCCACCTTGATTTCTTCCTGAAGTACAGATTGCTGGGAGAAGAATTCTAATGAAAGAGGCATTTCCCTAGAGAGGCTAATGCAGGCTTCCTAAGGAAGGAGTTTTGATTGACTCTGTAATCTGTGGAAGTAGAATTTAGGTGGGAAAACAGACTTTCTATCAGAATGAGAGCAAGTAAAATGGCCTAGACAATACTCTGCAGAACTTTGTGTCTATACATCCCTTAAACGCTGTTCTCAACTTTTCCTGCACATAATTAGAGACCTAAAAAAAATACTGATGGGCTGGGGATTTAGCTCAGTGGTTTCGCCGCCTGCTGCACAAGAGCAAGGACCGGAGTTCGATCCCTGGTA